ATATCTATCCCTACAGTTGTACTGTCTTTAATGATGTTGATCGCGTCTTCGATGTATAGATTAAAAAGTAGCGGTGACAGTGTGCATCCCTGTCTGACTCCCTTCCTAATATTTACTTCTGTAACTCCAATGTGTAAATATTAGATAAACTTTTTGTCAGTTCTAAGCGTATTTTTATAATAAAATTCCCTGTAGGTATTCCCAGGTACATGTCAGACACGGTCTTATAAAAACGAGATACATTTTTAAAGACTTCACCTTCAGATTTCCAGACAGTTTACAGCCCTTTTGCAAATATTTCAAACTTCTATTCAACGGATTAAGGATCGATATCGAGTGTTTGGTTCATATTTACGTAACAGGACTAAAAACCCATTGAAACTTTATTTCAAACACGGGATTTAACTTGGCAAACATGTTCTGAATAGTTTTATTCCGTTTCTGTTTTTTCGTTTCCGTTTCACTCGACAATAAAGCGGGTGTTCAGGCTTCATTTTGTCCGAATATAAATTGTTTCAATGGAACCAATGTTACTTCCGTCAGAATAGAAATGGAATTAATTACAAGCCATAAAACATGTTTTATACGTGCGTATGTACATGCTATGTATCGAGAAACATTCTTCTATTGAAAAACAATTGATCTGTACAATGCTGGACCACATTGCTCCGTTTTTGAACCAAAAACTGACGGCAGTCCACAAAACACAATAGAACTCGTTTTATAATTACTACAATAATCGATAGAAACAGGAAAGAGCAAGAATATACGATTTGTAGATTTAGAAAAAGGTTTTCGATAATGTTAAATGGGACAAGATGTAGGGATGAGTTAAAGTGATAGAAGAGTGATACTTGGTTTGTATAAAGAGCAACAGGCAGTTGTAGAGCTGGGACTGCAACATAGAGAAGTAAATATTAGGAAGGGAGTCAGACAGGGATGCACACTGTCACCGCTACTTTTTAATCTATACATCGAAGACGCCATCAACATCATTAAAGACAGTACAACTGTAGGGAAAGATGTGCAAGGGCAAAAGATTAGTATGCTTAGATTTGCAGATGATATAGCAGTATTAGCATCTAGCAAGGAGGACCTAGAGATAGCTTTAAATAAAATGGAAGCGGTACTGACAGATCAGTACTGTATGAAAATAAATAAAAGTAAAACTAAAATACTGGTATGCAAGGGAAGAAAAAGTAGGGAAAGAGCGAATATAAAGATAGGAGACGAAAAATTAGAAGAAGTGGCTGATTTTAGATACCTAGGAAGTCAGATAAGTGAGGATGGAAGGAGTAGTAGGGATATAAAGCAGAGGATAGCGCAGGGTCGTGTCGCCTTTAATAAAAAGAAGTCACTTCTATACTCGCGAACGGTTAATTTAGAAATTCGAAAAAGATTGTTAAAGGTGTATGTTTGATGTGTGAAACATGGACGGTGGGCGCGGCGGAAAAGAAAAGGTTAGAAGCGTTCAAAATGTGGTGTTACCATCGAATGATGAGGATACCGTGGATAGAGAAGGTTAGAAATAAACAGGTATTAGAAAGAATAGGAGAACAGAGGACTCAACGGAAGTCAATAGGACCTAGGTCAGATAGGTTGGTAGGACACCTTCTCAGGAATGAAGGTCTATTAGAGGCAGCAACATGAGTCAAGAAGAGTAGAGGAAGACATAGATTAGATTGCAACTCGCAAATAGTTAAGGATGTGGCATGTTCTAGTTTTAGTCGTAAATAATGAACTATTTCGATCAATTCAAAATCTTGTATCGGCTACGACCGTTGATGCATCTGATACTTTTCGTCTATGTAAATTTAACGGTTTCAGTTTGTCCATAGCTAAAATTTTCGGGCGGCTTGATTCGACATTTGTTTCGTCTTTGGGCTTCTTCTTCTTCGGATCTCTCATTATGAACATTGTTATAAAGAACAATATTGAATCTAAAACGACACAAATAAATTGCCATATAAAGTAGCTGGAAATAAATAATTGGGTCTAATTTTTATATCCGGTGTATAATTGGTTGCATATACATATATTTCAGCGCCCTTCGGACGGGTTTAGTCTGTAGAATTTGTACTTACTTAGAGGCATAAGCGGCGACATAAAATACGTAAAGAGCCTCCCTGTAACCTATAGCTTTCGAAACGGGGTCCTTTCATTCTTCAATAACTGTATCCAACTGGTATTTGAATTGAACTCACAATTAGTAGCAAGTCTCTACAGCAAGAACCTTTTGTATTGTTTCAGGATTTGGTGATCTTTTACCGGGTCGCCAAAAAACAGAAGAAATCTCGCTCTGTGTTTGTTCAGCTTACATAATGACCGGTATGGCTCTTGTTGCAATGTGCTTCAGTCTGATCCAAGACCAACTGATGAGTTTGTTGAAGTTCCTCGGAGCCAATTGCGAAAAAAGTATCGCTCTGAAAAACAGAGAGGAAGTCCAAATGGCCGTATTGTCCTCTTGACAACGACCCCAGGCGGAAGGGGCTGCACCTGCCAAAAACCCTCCCGTCGTCAAAAAAGTCCTACCGCTCATGAACCACAATAGCTTGCCAAGGAAGAGCAACTTCCAAAGAAATATTCCTAGCAGAAGATCAGCAGGTAGGCATTTCGACTTTAAAATATTAGGTAAATCCTTATCATCAAAACCTTAAGATTGACTTGCCCTTTCTTTCCCCTCTGCTTTAGAGACTTTACAGCAACATTTTGGTCTTATTCATTTCGTTTCCAAACCCTTGGTGCAATGCAATGAATTAGAATCCTTTGCAGTAGTTTCACCCTTCATAAAAGTATTTCTGAATATGGAACATCAATTTGATCATATCATCCTTTGTCCATCCAAATTGTCCAGTATTTAATGATGTCATTCCCTGTTCCAGCCTTTACTATGCCATCCGAGCCAGCCTTTGAATACTTCATCCCTCGAAGCCTAAGCGAGTTCGATCTTTCTGGTAATCTGGACGACAACCCCCTGATGGGTCTTCTGCCCTCCACGGTCCGTTTGAGTCGCAAAAATCTCCCACCAAAGCCCCGAGAAAAGGTGGTGACTTTCGAAGATGAGAAGTTAGAGTGTGGCAAATCCGCAAAGAACAATTCAGAACTCCAAGGCGTGTTCATGTGACCAAAAGCCGGATAACAATACGACCCTGGGGAAGAGACAGAGTCGGAACGGTTCGAGAGACTCAAGATGGAACTTAAGAGGAGTTTGAAGACTTTAAAATTGTGCGAGAATTTGAAGAAATGCGACGAGTCGTGTTCTTGTAATGCCGAATCTCAGTGTGATATTTGTAAAGTAATAGACTTTACTATGAAACAAGAGAAATTATAGCGGTTCAGGGGTCGTGTTGTTATCTCGGAAATGCTGTTTTTGAAACTGATAACTTGTGCCAAATGTCCCTGCTTCAAGGCTGTGGTGACGATATTTCGTATTTAAGTCCGAAACGATTGACCGTTCAATCGTAATAATTAGTAACGCCGTAGCTCATCAAACAAGTCCAGAGAAGGTACTCATCACTTACCTATATTCACATACGATATGTCTGGTTTTCATTTAGTATAAAAATATTTATCCAAATTTAGATACTTTGACACGTATTTTGTGTTATTCTTTGTATCATTTATTTTTTGTTTCTATTTCGATTTTTTTTTTATTCCTTGCAGAGGATTTTTTGTTCGATTTCGATCAAGTACCTACCTGAAAAAGGAGTACATTTTGGAACTGATATCAACCTTGAAATTGTCCATCTTCAGAGAGAGACTGTTATTTTGTGATCAAGTAAGAGTTCACTTAAATTTTCTTTTCCGTTTACGAACCCTTAATTGATACCATATGGAAACATGCACTTCGTAATATAAAAATATATTATAGATATTCCTTGTACTACCATGAAACCAACAATTCATTGTTAAACTGTCATTTATATTATCCAGAAATGAAAAATAAATTCATCATTATACAACAATTTTACTAACCGTAGTGTTAATATTCTTAATTGTTATTTTATCTTGTAAATTTTTTGAAAGGTAAGTGAAGCTTTTTGTTACGATAAAAATTGCGGTTGATGGGTCACAGTGGAGTATGTGTCCATTAGTAGCGCTTTTTGAAGAAGGTAAAGACGTTAATTTTACCATTGAGATCACCCACTTAGAACCAATTGTTCTACTGACGAAATATTAAAGAAAAACAGATTATCAACTACAGTAGGTTTATTTTTAATGAGTATAGTAACAATAACAAAGGCACTAATCATTATTATTTTTAGCACAGTTTACTTAATAATATGTAGGTATTTATAATAACGATCTTACAAAATTAAGACATTGTTCTGCATAAGTTAAAGTCAGTTCGAAGACATCTTTGTCACATTTATATAGAAAGTATTTACAGCAATCGTAAATGATCAACAATTTCGATCAATTCAAAATCTTGTATCGGCTACGACCGTTGATGCATCTGATACTTTTCGTCTATGTAAATTTAGCGGTTTCAGTTTGTCCATAGCAAAAATTTTCGGACGGCTTGATTCGACATTACTTTCGTCTTTGGGCTTCTTCTTCTTCGGATCTTTCATTATGAACATTGTTATAAAGAACAATATTGAACCTAAAACGACACAAATAAATTGCCATATAAAGTAGCTGGAAATAAATAATTGGGTCTAAATTTTTCTATGCGGTGTATAATTGGTTGCATATACATATATTGTAGCGCCCTTCGGACGGGCTTATCCTGTAGGATTTGTACTTACTTAGAGCGTAAGCGGCTACATAAAACACGTAGAGAGCTTCCCTGTAACCTATAGCTTTCGAAACGGGGTCAACAACAATGGGCAGATTCCCTCCGATGTTGTAAATCACAAACAAAAACGATCCAATAGTTGTCGACTTTAAATGGTCGGGTACAATCTCGGTTAAAATGGCAAACATAATTCCAAACCACATTTCAGCTAAAAACATAAACCGATGTTTTTATGGAGCCACTTCTTTAGAAAATCATCCCCGAGTTTTACGACTTGCGAAAGGGGATTCTATCCAAAACGATAAAATTTTCCAATCAATTACTTATCTTTATCGGCACGCAAGAAAACTTTTTTAAACTCATTTAAGTCGTCAGCGTCACAATAAACAAAAGGAACATTCCGCATTGGTGCGCTTACCAAAGAAGAAGGATATCGCGAGGGTTATCATGGCCCCGATGGGTTCGCAATACAGGGCAGCAAAAGCAAAGGGTATGGCTATAACCTGACTCACGAGCAACACCAAAACTCTGAACCTTACTCCCAATTTAGCGACCACTTTGTCAGAAAACACCCCTCCAACTACTACTCCGGCGCTACCAATCACAAGGGTTATAGCAAACAGAACCCACCCCAAATCGTAGTCAGGAAAATATGTGGCATAGTACAGGTTACAATTGTATGCAAGCGTCATACCACCTTAAAAAAAAATCGGTTGTCTGTAAAGTCGGTTTACTGACGATAGTTGAACGTGACAACGTCATAAGAAAATACTGATGGAATGGTTTCATTTTTCAAAAGAAAATTTTAATTTTATTTGTTTGATAGATATTTTGTATGGATATAGAGAAGGAGGTAAATGGAAATGTATTATTGTATAGCAGCTGTCCACGCGGACGCATCGCTCACTCAAGTAGGAGAGAGACAGATGTCGAACGCTGCCGAACGCGGAGGCCGATTGTGCCTCTTTGTCGCTCGTTCCGCGCTCTCGCTTGCACTTCAAGCCTTAAATGGAACGCCTCAGAGCGAGGTAACGCCGCATGAGTCATGTTTTTTCGTGCGCGTCCATCAAATTATAAGACGTTGTCACGTCAATAATCGTTTAAGCTTTAGAATAGATAGAAAAACCAACCCCTTACCTGTGTGTCTTATGGATGAAGCAATTACCAACATGATCATTCTTGGGTCAATTATTACGTGCAAAATTGTTTTGTCTCTATCTGCTGTATCTACGGCGTTAGATTCGGGTGAAGCTCCTTGCCTTTTGGGCTCTTTCAAAGTCAGAATAACGAAAGCCTGCAAAACTGTTACTATACCAGTTCCACAATAGGCCACTCTCCAACCCTACAAAAAAAAAACACCCATGCAACAACAGTTTTTGGACAAGTAACAGAGATGTGATTTATTAGAAATACTTGGATTTAAAATGCAAATACATTGGAAGCTTAAAAAAGGGGCAAAGAGACATTCCGGGAATGCCTTCTAATTCTTTAACTGAAGAGAGTCCAAAAAAATTCTAAACTCCTTGGAAATGGTTAATCTAAAATATTGGATCGATATTGTTTTCCCGGTTCAATGTCATGGTCCATGGAATTTTGAAGTTCCAAATTGATATCAGCACCTGCCAAATTATCACTTATCGTACCTTTAGCAAGGAACTACGAAATTTTATGAATTACGACAAAACAACCCGCAAAATAATATCGAACTGAAAACTACAAGCTATTGTGGTGTGCTAATGAATGCCTATAATCCAAAATTCTCAGAAAACTATTTGAAAAAGTTTACTTATTAGAAGAACCCAAAGCTAAAGAAACTATGGATTCCATTTCTTTCTCTTATTACAATGTGTAAAGATCGGAAACAAGAAGGGGTTGTAAATATTTTGATAACGAATAATTGATGTTGATTTTACATCAATAAAATTATTTGCAACCCTATTTTGACTCTTATCTTTCACGCTAAACAAACTATTTTGGCATCAGTGTCTTTTTTCCAATTGAAACGGGTGACAAAGGCAAATAAGGAAGCATATAGAAGAATTATTTGTTGTTGAACTGAAGAAACTATAATATAAAGATAGAAAAGCTATATCTCAACAATTTCAAACAGAAAAATGTGAATCATACTCAATCTTCGCAGTTGGTGTTATAGTTTAAACACCACTAAAGTGAACTGGTTATTTCTTTTCGTCATAATGGTTAGTATCACTTACCGCATTGAAAAAGTTTCGCAATGGAAGATATCTGCCCAATGGGAAAGCGATCCCATATCCAACATAGATCCCCCAGTTAAAGATAGACATTGCAAGACCTCTCTGTTCTGGGGGATACACGTCAGCTAGGATTCCAGTGGACAAAGGATTACAACCGGCTTCCCTGCAAAATACATTCAAGATAATTATTATTATGTCTAAAAAACGAAAATCCTTTGTCCCTTGAACACTGACCCTGCTGCTAGCACCATCCTCAACAGGACAAACTGCCAAAACTCGTGGATGAGTCCGCAAAGAAACACTGAAGCCCCAAAAACAAACGCGCATCCGGACAACATATAAACACGATGGAATTTGTCAGCCAGTATTCCGAAAATTACCCCGAATACGGTAAAGACAGCAATGAAACTGGGTCCTGCTAGGATTTGGTAGTCCAATCCTAATCCGTTGTAATTCCATTCACAGTAAGGGGTGCCATTAATGGCATAGGAGAGACAACTGCAAATTTAAAATGTTCGGGTTGTTCTTCAAATTTATAGGACTCTTACGTGTCTGAATCGTTGGCGGCGCTGCATGGTATCGGAAGTTCCGATATATGGTACTCTGTGTTATTTAACTGACAGGAAATATCGCCATAATGTATGTCAGAAAAAATATCCTTTGATGTAACTCCAATCAAATAATGACCTAACTCTCCTAGCGCGAATGTAAACGTTACTACAACCAAGACGTATGTTTTGTAAAGAAATGCAAGTTTCTGTCCTAGAACTCTGAAAGCTTCCCTGAAACTGTAAAAAAGTAAAAGGATAAACTTATTCAAAGAAGAAAGTCCCAGGAAGGAATTAAAATATCTAATAGTCCGGTTTAGTTTCTAATCCAATTGGTCTTAATGTAGTCTATAGGAGCTTTTTGTATCATAAAATAATGGCCACAATAACTTTAAATTTAAAATAAGATTATTTAAATTTTAACTCCGTTAAAAGTCCTTTTCATTATTGACAATGTAAAAGCTTTTGAATATTGATTACCTAGTAAATATAAAATTTATTGTTATGGACGGACTATCTTAATAATCTGCAAAAAGGATAAGAAAATTCAATGAGAGCTTTTTCTCTACCAAGAAAATGTACTGTATCGGAAAAGCCCCATCTTACAACCGAAAGAACTAAAACTGAATCGTTTTCTGTATCATATAATTTAGTTTTCCCTCTGACAAACTTAATCGATAAACAGGGCAGTATAAAATCATCCCTTGTTTTAGCTACTGTTCGACAGAGGTTGCTACTAGATTTAATAAAAAGTTAATGAATTACACTTGAGAGTATTTTTAGAGAACATATTTTTTTTTTCGTTTGAGAAAACCGTAATTGTTTTACTATTTACCCACTTGGACAAAAAAAAATTCAAAAAGTAGATGTTAAATATTATTTTCAACAATCCCTATCATGTTAAAATTAATCTACTGTTATCTGTTTTAGACAGTAACAGAGCATACTTTTTATGATTAACATTTACTTACTTTAGCATCTTTAAATTAGCAACAAATCTAACGGTTTCAAGTCAGAAATACAACTGCACAGTTACTTATCACTAATACCTATTAAAATTTTTTTATCACTTCATACCGTGTAGAGTCCAGTTGATAGACTAGACTAAATAATAAAATTCGGCATGTTTTTGATACTTGCAGACATCCAAAATGCTTCAATGATTCCCGAAAAAATTAGTCGAATGATTGATTAAAACCGCAACGTTGTTTTGTTCATTTTCACACCTCGTAAGCAACGTCATTGTTTTATATTATTATGAATTGACGTGTGTGTCTAATATTAATATTATAAGTCCTTTGCAGTCTCGGTTCGCAGGATAAACAATGTTCATTATTAAATAATTATCACGCGCTGGGCTCGTGAATTACAGAAAAATGTTAATTGTGATACTTAAACTCCCAATAATATTATACAATATAGAAAATCATTAATATATTTATTCCGAACATCATCAAACATGTTTTTGTTTATTTAAAAAATGATAAGCGTATTTTTTGAAGGTATTTTGATAATTTTGTTTTGATTATTAGGGATAAGGATAACGTTTAATAAAATATTTCTTTCAGTATTAGTTCCATAAAAAAATAGAAACAAATGCATTTTTTAATTATTAATTTATTCTTATTACAGTTACACATTACTTTACGTATAATAATTCTGTAAAACTGTTTTTGTTAATAATACTTTCATTCATTTAAAAAATACTATGTACAATTACAGAAATATAAAAAGTATTTTTATCAAAGTACGTAAAAAATCAACAATATAATTATTTTAATAATACGTAAACATTATATTTACATTTGTTAGAATTCGTTTCAATAAAATTTGAAACAAATGATTATTTTCCGAGAACGCTTACAATTAAAATGAAGTGACAACAATATACATATAATAACAATTAATTAATTAATTAACTAAAGCCTGCTGTGATTGTCCATGGGAATGGTTGAAGCATTGGATAACTTTTTACGTTCTCCCAACGGAAAGGTTGGTATCTGATTTTCGTCCATTGTGGTGAATATCCTGTTGTCGTGGCCCAAATCTTTGACTTCGGGGACCTTCTTGGGACCCTCCATCAGGAACATTGTTCCAAGAAACATGAAGGCACCTAAAACACATCATTTAGCATTTAATACACCTGAAAACTCCTGCAAGATTTATCGAGGATGTTTTAGAAGACAATCATCAATTTTGGGTGCGTCCATGTATGATGGTACTTAAAACTATAATGGTATACGAGGTCTATTCAAAAAGTATTGCGAATTTAGTGTTCTTTCAAAAATTATTTACTGATTCATGAATATCTATTTTGCCCTCTTCAAAATAATCCCCACACTGGTGCCAACATTTTTTCCCAATCCTCGAAGCACTTAAAAATCGGTTGTCTGTAAAGTCGGTTTACTGACGATAGTTGAACGTGACATCGTCATAAGAAAATACTGATGGAATGATTTCATTTTTCAAAAGAAAATTTTAATTTTATTTGTTTGATGGATATTTTGGATGGATATAGAGAAGGAGGTAAATGGAAATGTATTATTGTATAGCAGCTGTCCACGCGGACGCATCGCTCACTCAAGTAGGAGAGAGACAGATGTCGAACGCTGCCGAACGCGGAGGCCGATTGTGCCTCTTTGCCGCTCGTTCCGCGCTCTCGCTTTTGCACTTCAAGCCTTAAATGGAACGCCTCAGAGCGAAGTAACGCCGCATGAGTCATGTTTTTTCGTGCGTGCAGCCGGCTCCAACGAATTATAAGACGTTGTCACGTCAAAAAATCACTTTTTGTGATCTCGTTCAGCTTCTCCTTCGACGCCTTCTTTATCTCCTCAATCGTAGCTTAGCGTCGTCCATTCAAGGGCCTCTTCAGTTTCGGGAACAAGAAAAGGTCACTAGGGGCCAGACCAGGGGAATACGGGGGCTTTGGCAAAAAATTCGCGTACCAGAACAGACTTCATATACGAAAGATTTTGAGTGATTACAAAACCTGATGACTTACTAAGACCGTATGCTCCAACGTAAAATACGTAAAGGCTTTCCCTGTAGCCGATGTCTTTGGAAACTGGGTCCACAGCAATGGGTAAATTTCCTCCAATGTTGTTGATGACGAACAGGAAAAGACCAATGGTTGTTGATCTAAGATGGAGCGGTACCACTTCAACCACGATGGCAAACAGGATACCGAACCACATTTCAGCTAGGAAAATAAATAAGACGTTTCAGACCATAAACAACTTTTTAAAGGATAATTTGGTAACTCACCAAAGAAATATGATATTCCCAAAGTTACCATAGCACCAATTGGTTCGCAGTAGACGCTTCCGAATGCGAAAGGGGTTGCAATAATTTGACTGACGGCCAAAACTGCCAGTCGTGATCTGACACCCATTTTAGCCACTATTTTGTCAGAGAAAACTCCCCCTGCTACCACCCCGATGCTTCCAATAATTATGGTCATTGCGAACAGCCACCAACCGAGGTCGTAATCGGGGAAATATGTTTGATAGTAAAGATCGCAATTGTACGCAAAACACATTCCACCTGATAACAGAAGAATTTGGACACTTTAATTTGTAATATGGACATGTACATCCAACCCGTTTGTTTTGACCGGGTTAGGTTAGGTTAGGTTAGGTTAGGCTGGCATAGGTTGCGCTGGATTAACTTGGGTTGGATTGTATTGTATTACGTTTGATAATGTTAGGTTGGGTTGGTAAGAAAGGGAACGTACGGCAAGGTAGTATGGCGCAAGTTGGACCCGGTTAGGTTAGGTTAGGTTAGGTTAAAAAACTTGTAGAAGCCCAATAAGTTTGGGGTTTAATTTATGGGATAATTTGACAAATTCAATTACCACAGTGGCGGATTGAAGCAGCAAGGCCCAACATAATCAATCTGGGATCAGAAATGATATCTTTAATCTTCAGTTTCTTTGCTTCTTTGTCTTCGTTGGTTGTGTCAGTTGTTATTTGACGCCTTTCAGGTTCCCTAAGGGTTAACGTTAGAGCAGAGAACACAATGGCTATAACACCCGCCCCGTAGTATGCCACTCTCCAACCCTAAACAGTAAAAGATAGTAATTATATACCTATTATGTTAAATGGTAGCAATTGTTAACTTACTGCATCGAATAGATTTAAGGGTGGTATATATCGTCCAACGGGAAAGGCTATGCCGTAACCCCCGTAGATTCCCCAATTGAAAATGGCCATAACCAGCGCCCTCTGCTTTTCGGGAAATATGTCAGAGAGGATCCCTGTAGCCAACGGATTGCACCCTGACTCTCTAAAAACAAATCCAAAATGAATCATCTGGATACACGCAGGTGACAAAATAAATATATATTACCCTGCCGCCATGATCATTCTCAGCAATACCAACTGCCAAAATTCTTTCACGGCCCCGCACAATATAATGGCAATTCCAAATACCAAAGTGCACCCCGCCAACATCCTAACCCTGTGATATCTGTCTGCCAAAAACCCGAATGCCACCCCTACCACGGTGAAGACCGCTATGAAGCATGGTCCTGCTAGTACCTGGTAATCAATGCCCAAACCGTTGTACGTCCATTCACAATAGGAAGTCCCATTTACATTGAACGATAGGCATCTAAAAATAGTTCAAATTATTTTATGAACAATTGAACAGTTTTGGTGGTAGGTAGAATCCTATAGACTCTAGAGATCGCCGATTCGGAAAGCCCATAATGAAAAATTAACCGACCAAATTTTTAAATAATTTATAGAGAAATCCATATCGATAAATTATTCCAAAAATTGATAAAATATGACCTCATTAAATCGATATGACAATATCACTGCTCTAGAAGAACACTGAGGCGTAGAAATAACGTTCTTTACCGAAGACTCGAACAACAAAAAGAGATTAGACTCCTGGTGTATTTTAATTTTCTACAAATTGTCTTACTAATTAGGGAAAGTAATTCAATAGTCCACTTTAATATTTTGTATTATGTTACTGTAGGTAGATGTACGAGAGGATGGCGACCTCATAATAAAAAAATAAGTTGTACTGTATTAACAAAATGAATATCTAAATGTACGCACGTTTCTGAATTGTTTGCTGTATGACAAAGGTCTGGCAGTTCCGACAAAAAATACTCTGTGGTGTTTAATTGGCATGCTATGTCTCCATAGTGTAGATCTAAGGCTATTGCTTTGGACGTCACCCCTATTAAATAGTGTCCTAATTCTCCTAAGACGTAGCCTATGGCTACAATGGCTAGAACGTACGACTTGTAAAGGGGTTCCAATTTTTCTTTCACTGTTGATATCATCTTGAGATTTTATCTGTAATTAAAGTAATGGATTAATCGATACAGATAATCTATTGGCTATTTTATTACTGATAACTCATAGGTAGATACCGAGCAACCATTTGTTAACTGACGAGGTCTAAAATGCGAAAATAGCAATTCGTAATGCCCGTATTATAATCGACATTATTGAGTTATTGAATTTTTCCAGAAGGTAAGGGTTGTATAGATACGTTTTGTTTATTCGAAGGTGAAATGAAATCGGTAGGCGCATTTTCTCCGTTTTTCACGACTAACGAGAAGGTACTTCAAAGGAGTTCTTGACAAAACAGCGCTTTTATCAAGGGCTTAAGGCATTGTCAGTTATACGTAGGTGCCTTGTTAGCAATCGTCTATTTTTACATAAATTCAATTGGGAAACAAAGGTCAAACTTCTATTCAACTAGATTACTTCTTTCTTTCAATGAATTTCATGAGCTTACAGGTAGCTTTTCTTGTCATTGACTAAAAATGGCATGGAATTTTGTGCGTAAAATAAAACACATGAGAAATGCTTCTTTAATGTGATTTTTTTTTAGTGTTAGTTTTATCGTTAGTAATTAGATTCAATTCTGGTTTTGTTTGCAGAAATGTTGTGGGTAGGTAGGTCCCTATTTAAATATCCAAGGTGTTTCAGTGTAGCATCTGGAAATGCAGGAACTTCGCAATGATTATAAATCGTCATTATTATTACTCTCAAGGTGAATGGATGCAGTTCTAATCTGTTCCTGTTAGAAAGATCAAGCAATTTGTATTCTCCAAATGCAATTTCCTAACGCATGTACTTATTTTCCAATTTCCGTCAAGGAAATATAAACGCGAGGAAAATTAATAATAACAAGAATAAGTACAAAAGAAAATGTTACATTGGATAGATATACCTACTTATTAAACAAGTACTCCCAACAATAAATAATACGTTATTTTGTTGTTTATCATCTGGTCTAGTTTCTGCGTCACGCTAATGTAGGTAGCTGCTTTAACGTCATTGTTTTTATAAAGTTACTAGTGACCCGCCCCGGCTTCGCACGGGTGCAATGCTGATACTAAATATATTTTTGTTTTGTTTAGATTATTATCGAGAAGGGGAAATCTTCAAAAAATACCCCCTGAACATACTAAATATACTACAGAATGTCTTTATATACAACATTCACAGTTTTTTTTGTCATTAAACAATACAAACCGGCCTCCCGGCCGGTACCGCCGCAACCGCTATGTCCCTGCATTTGAAATCTGTAATATCTTCGAAAATATTCATTTAAATTACATGCTGTAAAGGGCCATATTGATCTATATTAAATGCACAATGTATTTAAGGTACTTAATTGGATAAGAATTAATGCTGTATTGCCTACAATTGCTTCGTAAATAAGTCATTATTTCTCATAAAAAGTAAAGGATAAAAGTGGTTATTGTGGGTTATCTCTAAGAGATAGACATATACCATCCCGGACTTTTTTGTAGACCCTTTTAAGATGTACAATATTGTAGTACATTATTTTGATCTGTCTCGTAGGGTTCAGCCAGCGTTTGCAATGTAAGCGCAAAAAATGTGTTTATTTACGACATCACATTACAAATCTCTAAAATTATCAGTGTTTCCCTACTGTATTATGCATGTATTATACATATAAACCTTCTTTTTGAATCACTCTATCTTTTAAAAAAAACCGCATCAAAATCCGTTGTGTAGTTTTAAAGATTTAAGCATACATAGGGACAGACAGCGGGAAAGCGACTGTTTTATACTATGTAGTGATTCCACCACACACTGCTACGAACTTATGTATTGAAATTTATTCTGATTTGTCTCGTAAAAAGTACGGCATAAATTTCAAATGTGTTCTTATAAAGACTTTAGCTAAGATAAAAAGAGACAAATGAATCGCCTGAAGGCAGGTTAGTACTTGTGGTAAATGTATCGGAACGTACAGCGTTTTAATTTTATTATGACGGATCTGGCGTGTCCCAAGGGCGACATAGCGAAAGGGTTCCACCTCAAGTGATTACGTAAGCAATGGAATTTGCGATTAACTCTAATGAATATATTTAATTTACGTTGACTGTATGTAAAAACGGAAGATATCCGGCCTACCGTTTACAACCGGAAAAGGGACTAAAAAGACTGCATCCTTTTCTAATTAATTTAAACTGTTTTTAAATTGTACTTATTAGATAGAACCTGTCCATTGGACATGTGGTAGATACATAGCATATAGTAATTGTTGGTAAATAAAAATGAAAAAGTACAATGCCCATTTTTCAGCCTAACAAGAATTTTATTCTATTACATTGAATAACCACGTCTATTTCCACAGAGAAACCTAACACAAAGGACAAAGAATATTTTCTAGCTTATTGCACAAACTTGCTTCCCATTCTGGTAGAAAATTATTCAAGTTGTTCCAATGCCAGTTCCTATTATCTCACAAGTCTACCACAAAAAATGTAATTTATTTTTACCATTGAATACAGTAGGATTAAGACCATGGTAACTAAATAAAATAACACAGGGTCACATATCCCCTACTTTTTTTATAAACTGAAGGGTTTTTGGTAGGTGTATTTCTCTAGGGTCAGGGGGGAAGTCACCGAAAAAAATTCTAAATTATTTATAAAGGAATTTATATTGATAAATTATTTAAAAAATCAATAAAATGTGGTCACATGAAATCGAAACTTCAGTGTCAGTGTGCTCTATGATTACGTATTCTTTTGTTTCTTCCAAGGACATTCAAATTTGTAATTTGATGCCAGTCACTGAAATACTCAAAAAATAATAAATAGTTCATTTCGTTTAATTACAATAATTTGGAATGCTCCCTATTCCAGCCGAATTCCCATTAAGGTATCTTATCTATTTTAAAATTAATTTTGTCTTTACAGTTATAAAATTAAGATAATTAATGTCAGATCTGTTACCTTTCGGTTAAGGTAGTAGGTAAGATAATAAATAATTGAACTATAAATAAACACAGTTCCAAAAGCGTTTAATAAAGTGATTTTTATTATTACGAAACCAAATTAGATTTTAAAAGGAAAATATGCCTTACATTCTAATGGATTTACCAAAACGATGAGTTTTAGTGTAAAAGTGTACCAAACTTTACATTGCTATTGTTTTAAACAATATACACATTATTTAAACATTTTAAAGTGGACGAAATCGTTAAATACTTTTGCATTTCTTTAAAGTTGCTGAACATCATTCCGTTCTCTTTTTGCCACTTTTCGGTAGCAAAATTTGGAAATTTTTTATAATGGAGTTATAGAATGATCCTTTGGGAACATTCCTGTAAAGACGGAAGTTCAAAAACTTTTTAACTGCGTCCGGTACATAATTTTTTCTAGGCCTAGTACGCGGAGACTACAACAGTGCGTCAAGCGACGAACCCGACATTTCTGAAATTTAAATTAAATCTGTTCGCTAAAAGTATCGGTGTAATTATCAACATTCACTATAACACTACTGATACGGTATTTTCCCTTCTTTATGGACATATAAATAGATTGTTAAACAGTTTATTTCAGTTAGTATCGAAATTTCTCAAAATATTTAGACACCTTTTGGTCGCTTAATTCTCACCTAACGAGAGCAAAACCTGAAAAATTTGTACTGTAAACATACACAGTGATCCTTTGAGAACATCTCTGCATAAGCACAAGCCCCAAAAATTTATCATAAAAATATAAGAACATTTTAATATAGACAATACTGTTAAATACTCTTGCATGTTCTCGAACACCAGTTTATTATTTCATTTTGTGACTCTGTCAGAGCAAAATTTGACAATTTTTTGTAATGAAGTCATAGAATGAACCTTTGGGAACATCTCTGTGAAAACAGATGTTCAAATACTTCTTAACTGCGCTTGGTACGTAATGTTTTCTAGGCCTATAACGCGGAGACTACAACGGTGCGTCAAGCGACGAACCCGACAGTTTTAAAATTTAAATTAAATCTGTTTGCTAAAAGTACCAGTGTAATTATTTAAATTATTTTTAATGTTGAAAGTCACACATATTCAGTCTAGAATCATAGATATGAGCTCATTATCGTACGTTGATTATTGACAAATGAAAAGGCACAAATGTTTCAAAATTTTTTTAAACAGTTAATTATTATACAATTTATCCCCCATTCGCTAATTTCTTCTCGTTTCTGAAAAGTATTAGGTACTCTAATGGAGTTAATATTAATCTGTCTTCTAGTAATCACTCTTTTAATTGCAGATTATTTATATTTATAAATAGTACGTAATTTTTTTTAATGAATTGTAGGTCACATGAATAATGTGCATCCAGTGTTATAAATAAAATTCAACCACAGCCACAATTTCATACTAGTATTGATCCAAATTTATTGCTTATTATGCTCAAGTATTTCCTTACATTACTTTGGCTTTCCACATCGAAATCGCGCGGTAAATTCACAATGAAACCCAAGACAAAGAATCCAGAATATTTATTATTTTATTTTGCAAACATGTTTCCCATTCTGTTAGACATTCTAATAGAAAATAATTCAAATTATTGCTAACGTTTTTTACCGAAGGATCAATTGTTTTAATACGTGGTAACTTTTAAATGGAAGAAAGAAACAATTGTGTAAGACTAAAAACAAAATAACCTACTACAAAAGTCCAAATAGGATATAATGATCCTAGGCGGTCGTGTTTTACGGTAGTTAATATTTCCAAGTCCATTATTATAGCTGGAAATGTAAAGCCCAGCGGGGTTATGCAAGGTCAAAATACAAAGATATTTCCAATTGTTTTGAATAAGTCACACGCCAAACCTTTTTAGTTTTTACTTTGTTTCTGCTTTTATTTGTGCCATTTTATGCGAGAAGGTTAGTTCTTTAATAAATAAAATTACAAAGCATAAATGCATTTCAACTATTTCACATTAGTAAAAAGTAATAACATTATTTGATTTTTATATAAACCCGAATATTACAATACGTTACATGACTCGAACAACAAAAAGAGA